TATTCCAGTAACGATGATCACTCGAAAATTGTTTGCGCAACTCACTCTCGGCGAGATATCAAGTCCTCTTGGAAGTCCCGATATGTTTCACGAAACATACGAACACCCTCGAAACACGAATACACGAATGCCTATAAACGCGATTGCATTTTTTTCTGCTGCAGAGAAAAACGCAGCAACAGGTGAATTTAAAAACCGATTTTTAGTATCGGATACACTGAAGCATCGGGTACTGAGAGAAGAATGTATCATTTATGAATACTGTGTCATAAACATTTATCGTTGCGATATGCATCCATGGCAAGATTAAAAACTATCTTTTATTTTATATTTAAAAAAAATATTTTTTCACTCACTTTTGTTTAAATATTATAGACTTAACATTGGAAATATATGATCATGGAAAGAATACAAAATATTGGAAGTATGAAAAATATTGCATTTGTGAAGGCTGTTCGAAAAAAGTTCAAAAGTTGTATAATAATATTTTATTAAATTCTCTAAGTCATCTCTTTAAAAAATTCAGGATATTTTCAGAAATTATTGACACGTTAATATATATTCAAATTTTATCAATTTAGTTACGAAAAACGAGATATATATATATATATATATATATGAATATTAGAAAAATATTATTTCGTTTAATCCTTTCGGAACAGTACAAATCTGGTAATTCTTATTCACTCCACAATCATAAGTATAATGGTATAATTTTTGTAATTAAAAAAAAAATAAATTTTTATCAGTAAAATTATAGCGGGTGTAGAAATAAGTGGGTGTAAGAATTTTTGTTCAAGATTATAATTCAGATATTTTTCTTACCTCACTTGTCTCTATCTGATCATTGAACGTCTCGAATCATAAGTGCCGTCGGCGGATCACACGTCCGAGTAACAAGTTCGTCAATTTATACGGATAGTGGATATTACGTTCGAAACTTATGCTTGCGAACGGCATGGTGCAGTTTTATTCCACTTTACTCCACTTTTTACATTTTACACTTTTTCCCGCACTTGCAGCGCTTCTTTAGAGTTCTTCTTCCTTTCCGTAGTTATATCGTCATTGGATAACACAATACGATGAATTTCGCAGTGTGATCACTGTTACGTTGCACCTATGATGCCTTTACAATTTTCACGAGCAGAGGTACTTGGTACTTGAAGATGGATATTTAATTTCGATTTTATACACCATTTCCATATCACAAACTTACGTTTATGAATACGGAAAATACGGAAGACTCATGCAGTTTAGCGCATCACATAGTTTAACACGGTGCAACACAAACTTTAGTTAGGCATTTCCTTAAATCGATATTATGGCGATTGCACTTTGGCGTGATAGCGTACACCTATCTTTATGGATTAACTACTAACTTTATGGAAATGCTTTTCTCACGTGTAATATTACATTCATTTAATCTCGTGTTGAGCTATTTTCTTAATTCTCTCTTCTGAGCTCTGAGCCGATAATCGAAGATATTCTCATAAGGCTTCATCTTCTGACTTGAATTGATTGACAATTGATTACAGACACCGTTCTTCAACAAGTCCAAATCCAAGTCCAAGTTCCAAATATCTGTTAACTCCGACTTCATCATTAATTTCTAATTTTTTTCTTCACTGTTATTCCAATACGAATAATTTCTTGCTCCAAGTTTCGAAGATCAATGTACGGGTTACTCTGGAAACTCATCCGGAGTATCTTCACACTTCGCACCGAAACCGTTGATCATCTTCCAATCTTCTTAAATTCTTCTTGACATATGTCTTGGTTTAACTGAAATCTGCCAAGTCGAAAACTGCTCGAAAACCGTTGAATCAACCAATAATAGGAATAGCTGCTGCGGTTTTTTTAATGTTATCTGCCGATTGTCGTGACTGCCGATCAGAAAAAAGACGAGAAGGAAGAGAGTAGCAGAGACTACTCGGGAAGGTCCACACTGCCTGGCGGTTTGATCGCTGAAGACTGAGCACCGTGGTAGCGTTTCGCCGCGTAGTAAGCCGGCTCTCGCCCCGCCGATCGAGCTCTGTTCCTCTGCCTCTCCACGAGGAGCGTGGAAGTGAGAAAGAAATAAAGGCAGAACGATAGGCGACGAAAGAAAGAGGGAGAAGGAGAAAAAGAGAGGGAGAGAGAAAGAGGACCCGTCCTTCTCGACCCACTCTGATGTTCTGCGCGTCCTGAGAGCAGCATGTCCCCGTCGGATACGTTCTCTGGATTCGCCCCACCAGGTTCCCTTTCGTTCACCCTACCCCGGGCACGGGGTTTCCTCTCTCGGCGCGTCATTCTATCCCACCACCTATTCTATTTCCACCACCCCAACGACCTTGGAGTTTCGCGCGATCGCCGCTGGGCGGCACCAGCATCCAAACTCACGACCGAAACGCCGTTCGAGCGTGGCAAGTAACAAAGATCCCGTCGGTTAGCGCCGCTATGTGGGAGAAAACGCGCACCACTGGTTGGTAGAAGGGGTGTGGTAATCACGAGGGTGAGAGTAGTCAGTTGCCCCTCTCGTCGTGAATAGATATCCCCTACCCCTCCGCAATTCTCGCTCCTCCTCCGCCCCCACCGCGGCGGCACGTGTTCCGTTTTGCTCGAGCTGGAGTACACGCGAATCTTCCCATCTTTGTCGCGTGTCCGGTACGTTGCATTACCGTCAGTAGGGGATCGAATATATACGTGGTGGGGAGGATAGATCGAATTCAAGAGTGGGGAACAGAACGCTCTAGCATCGCCAGCATGCGTCACGCGCTATCCACGTTACGAATATAGCCGACTTTGTGAATAAGCAGATCCGTTAGTGCGATGATAACCAAGTAATATTCTGTTTTACACAATAAATCTATTGAAGTCTCTGGACTTCATCTTCGAAATATGATTTATAACACATATACTCGCGATCCCGTATGTTTTTTCTTTGACTAATCTCTACCACACTTTATATTTGTGATATAGTTTAGTTACTTATGTATGTCCTGAGAAGAAGATAGATTAATATGCCAAGTTTGTGTTTGAAAACCGAAAACACTAGTCACTCGACACAACAGAAAAGTTGGAACTATCTTATCATATTCTTCAGCACTAGTATTTATTACATAATTATTTCAGTTTAATTATTGTTAAACAGCTTCCAGATTATAATTAATTAATTAATATTCCACTTCAAATGATATAATCTCAAAAAAAAATAAGGAATGTGTGAAAACAATTATTTTTTCCTATCATTTCACATCCATTCCAGTATCCGCTTTTAAATCCTGACACATGGTTTGCTGGAATAATCTCTGATAAAAAAATTCTGTAAAATGATTCTCTTTAAAACTTTACCCTGTGCTGATTGTACTAAATATATTAAATTGTACGAGTATTAATAAAAAATACAGTTGCATGAAAAAATATTACAATCATGTTATCGTGCTACAGTGTTGCTGTTTCAAGTTTTCGATGTCACTTGTCATCATGGATGTTACAACAGTAATTTTATCTTCATAGCTAATATTAGTATTGAATGCATGAATTTCATTACAAACACCTTTTATCCCAGCACCTGTCAAACGTGCAGACAATATTGATATACGAACCAAGGTATTGTGCACAATCTTGTCAAACATTCAAACTTTTCCTGACAGCTTTTCCTGCACACAGAATCATAACTACATCAACATGAGCACTTGAACTTCTATTCGGCGGACACTTTTCCCACTTTTCCCCTGCCACCTCTTTTTCACGCACACCTCTTTTTTTCTTTCTTTTAATAAAAAAATCCTAAATATCATCTAAATCACATATATATCGGTGATCTGATGTTTTTTGAGAAACAAATCAAGTTTGATAGTGAGATCATTAAGAAGTATTTAGTGTAAAAAATTTGTCCTCCAAATCATTTGACATACTATTTCTAGAGGGATTTTTGTGCGAATAGATTTTTGGAAAACGGATAAACGTGTATGGAAAAAACGATGCATAAATCGAACACAGGGAAATATCCTAAGAGAATGTTAGCGCGCATTGGACTGGCTGTTGTCGAGCTCGATCGGTCCGTCTGAAGCGGTATAATTTCCCCTTCGTCGCTTTCCCTGCGTGCGGCGGACTCGCCACCGCCGCATGTCCCACCAAACCCGTCGCAACAACGAATTCTCCTCTCTATCTTCCCCTCTCCTCCCGCTTAGAGTAAACGGCGCCCCGACGCTATCTGCGCGGCGTCGCAGTTCGTGAATTCCGGAATTCCGCGCCACGGTGGCTCCACCTCCCCCTCACACGAATCGCTAAATCTTTTTTAAACCACGCCTAGTAGCCTGGTCGAGCAAGCGAGATAGCGATAGGACAAAAAAGAAGCGAGCACGCGCGAACAACTCGGTCGTTTTTCCTACTGCTTCGACAATACGAACACATTGCGCGATGAAACTCCACCCTCTTTTAACGGCGCCCCTCTTTTGCCTCCCACTACCGATTCTTCATCCCTACCTCTTCTTTTTTCCGCTCTCCTCCGCACCGATACTTTTCCGCCACGCGAGATTTTCTGCCGAATATAGTTTATCACCGAGTGAGAGGGAGGCGGCAAACGCTTGCAACGCCTGTCGATAGCTGGCGCTAGCGTACATACACATCGTCTAACGGAATAAAAATATTAAATTCGCCTTGTAGGAAACAGGTTCTAGTAGATATCACATATGTGATTATATATAAGAGTATCAAACGTAGAAAGAGTATTTTTTTGCAATCAATTTTGTATTTTTAGCATTTATATTTTCCTTTGCTAATACCAGTTAATGCATTTATCAAGGTAATATTGATTACAAGTTAATAAATATTTTATTATGTATAGTATTATATGTTTTAAAAATTACAAATTGTTAAAAAAATAACTTTAAAGGCATATATGAAGTACAGAATGTGATAAAGAGTTAATCTATTATTTATAAGCATATTGAACAGAAAGTAAATTAATGATTAGTCATATTATAATAAATAATAAATCCTATGAATTATAGAAAAATCGCATTAATAAAAATACCTGATTATTAAATATTAATTAAAGCTATCAATTATTTGATTTGATGTTTAAATGTTTATTAAAATTAAAAATCTACTTATTCTTTTAACCATTGTTTGCAAAAATGATTGAATATAT